CTTATGAATCATGGGCATACAAGAAGGAGAAGTCCCTCAAGATAATGGCATGGACCAAATCTACAACAGGATTTTAGAAGAAATTTTCCCAAAATTAAAGAAAGACATGCCCATACAAATACAAGAAGCATATAGAACACCAAACAGACAGACCAGAAAAGAAACTCTCCATGGTGCATCATAGTAAAAACACTAAACGTACAAAACAAAGGGACAATACTGAAAGCTGCAAAAGAGAAACAAGTCACATATAAAGGAAAACCCATTAGGATTACAGCTGACTTTTCGATGTAAACTATGAAAGCCAGAAGATCCTGGACCAAAGTATTCCCAGTTTTAAATGACCACAGATACCAACCCAGATTACTATACCCAGCCAAAATGTCTATTATAGGCAAAGGGGAAAGGAAAATCTTCCATGACATGAACAGGCTGAAGGAATTCATGCCCACAAAACCAGCCCTTTGGAGAGTTCTGGAAGCAAAACAAAGAGCTGAAGAAAGGAATCACTATACCCAAGGGGTTGCTGAAAGAAATCCAATGAAGGTATAACTGTGGAAAAGTACAGCTATATCAAGAATGTGAACAGAAATAAAAATGACAGGATTCAATACTCATCTTTCATTAATAACTAAATATTAACAGACTGAATTCCCTGGTCAAAAGACACAGACTAGGTGAATGGATTAAGAAACAAAACCTATCTTTTTGTTGTCTGCAAGAAACCCATCTCACCTTCAAGGACAAGCACTATCTTAAAGTGAAAGGATGGAAAAAATATACCAAGAAAATGGTACTAAGAAAAAAGCAGGTGTAGCAATTCTAATATCTGACAAAATAGACTTTAAACTAAAACTAATCAGAAAAGATAAAGAGGGCCACTTCATTCTGATCAAAGGAACAATAAATCAAGAAGATATTACAATCATAAACATATATTCACCAAACTCTGATGCACCTAGCTTCATAAAAACAATACTACAGGATGTTAAGACCCAGATTAATCCCAACTCATTAATAGTAGGGGACTTCA